TGTCACCCACAGGCACTACATATCTTTTTTTTTTTTGTGAGGCTTCTTCGTCGGCTTTTCGTAAGTTTTCCACGGCAGTAACCATTGTGTCAGTGAAGCAAGTAAAGGGAACGATCTTCTGGGGTAAAATGGAACCGTGGCATACCTTAATGTTGATCCAGTAATTAGGTGCAGAAAGAATTTATCATATTACTCGAGGGCTGTTGGCGTTCTTTTAGCAAATCAAATGAAGGGAGCGGCTAGTCTAATTATGACAGTGAAGCAATAAGACGTAAGATATTTGGTACTTGAAACAGCTACCAGTTGAGTAAGAGGTAATACCAAGAGTTCATGGCCATAGAGTGGTGCCTGAAATGACGGCAGTGGCTCGTGTTTCATTGAGTCAACCTGATGTGGTAAAATGTGGTGCTTTTTGACATTCAAGATTTTCTTTTTAGCTTTCGGCTATGTTTTATGGACCTCCGTGAATTTCTTGCACCCCCAGGCAACACACTTCGCACTTTTTAATTTTCTGCATTTTCCTTCACATTTATGGGCCTGGTGTCTGTTTCTGACACATCACCATTTACAGTAATTATTTGAGGAAGCCTTCTGTTCTTTTCCATGCAACTTCCCGAAAAAGCGGACCACACTTGTACCACTGAGGGTGCAGTTTTCCACTGTCATTTTAACACAAGTCAGCTGGCTTGGGCTGTTTAAAAATAGCCCGATTTACAGAAATAAATAATTGGGTCTCTACGAATTATGAGGACGTACTGGAATGAGTGCGAATTTACTCTAAAATTTCACTTTTGCAGCAATTATGAATTTATAACACGCAGAATGAGTATGAGCGATTGATACGTCGAGCACGATCGCACTGCACCAGTCTAACTGATTTGGTTAGCATAAATAATAAAATAAAAACCTCTTCACATAATACGCTCTCTGTGAGAGGCGAGGCGCAATCAAAGATAAAATGCACCAACAGCAGTTACCCGTTGGCAGAAATCTGTCGACGGCTTCCTCTTTCAGAAATTGCTTAGAAGTAAGCTGATGACGGATTTGACTCCCTGACATGCGTCAGCATCACTTTATTACTTGTCCCTCAACTTCCTGCATGAGGGTGGGGTGCTATTTCCTAGTGCGCCATGCTTGCGAAGGATTTGATTAGCATAAAAATTTGTTTTTGAAATTCCACAAAATGTTTGTTTTACAAATTACCCTCCACAGCCTCGGAGCTTATTTGATAGTATCGGCGCAATGACTCGCAGCTTCTGCACCTCCTGTCTTTAAGGCTAATTCACTTGCATTTGTCTTGACAGCGGTTTGACTGCTGTTGGCTTAGCACAAACATTTTAAAAATCTTGCGAAATGTTTTTTTTTTTTTTTTGCACATTTTGCTAGCTAATTGGCTCTGCCCATGCTTGGGCTGTTGCCTTCGCCTTTCAAAAACAGCGAATAGTGGTTAATTTTATTCGCTTTAATTTTAGACTGCTGCGATTTGTTATTTTGTGATTTT